TTATATTAGTATTCCCCATCAGCGTGTACCCTTACATTACCTACCCCATCAAAGTGCCTCCTTACATTATTTGTCCATTTCAGAGTTCTCCCTTACATTCGTGTTCCCCATCAGAGTGCCCTCTTACAATAGTTGTCCCCATCAGAGTGCTCCTTAAATTGTATGTCCCCATCAGCGTGCCCCCTTACATTAGGTGTCCCCATCAGAGTACCCCTTTACATTGGCAGCTCCCATCAGAGTGCTCCCTTACATCAGTAGTTGCCATCAGAGAACCTCCTTACAATAATTGTCCCCATCAAATTGCCCCTTACATTATTAACCAATAATTCTGATGGGACAACTAATGTAAGGGCCAAAGAGGTTTCCACCGCACTCCTTACTAATATGTCCCTTTTTGAAGTGGGTGCCGCAGTGATAGTGGATGGCGCCATTTCAAATCCAAATAGTAAAGTATATCACCAGCACACCAAAGTAAAATCTTCAACGAGTGGTCATTTTCCTCATAAAGCAACGTTTTGGGGCCACTCAGGCATGACCTGATGAAGGGACCCTGAGTGGCCCCAAAATGTTGCTTCATGACGAGATGTGTATACATCAATAAAATGACCACTCGTTGAAGATTTTACTTTGGTGTGCTGGTGATATACTTTACTAACTAATGTAAGGGGGCACACTGATTGTGACAACTAATGATTATCTGTCCCCACCAGCCTGTCCCCTTTATTGGTTGTCCTCTTTAGAGTGCCCCTTTACATTGTTGTCCCCACATAGGAGCAGGCAAAGGAAAGTTACTTCTCCGTCCTCATGTAATATGTAATGCGGGGGGGCAGGGCACACAATTGATGCCGTGTGTTGCTAGGACCGCCAGTGGAGGAGGGGGACACATTTCGTCATTGGTTGTTAGGACTCCAGTCGTCTTAGCAACCAATGACTGAAGAGGAGGGGGAAACTGCACAGGAGTATGGCTGGTAATGGATGCACCGGCCTCAGGCACACATTCACTATCAGCCTAATATAACCCAGTGCAGGGTCATGATTTTGCAGTCTAGACAGAACCTTCACTTGGTCCATGTCTGGACTGTGGTCCACCATTCAGTGATCCCCATTCTATAGTTTTCCCCTTCACTCTTCACTCAGTTGCTACATTAAGGAGGTGAGGAAAGGGGTGCAGTTGCTGGGCCAGTTCACAGTATTTAGAGACTTCTAGAAGTTGAGAGGGTTATGATATGAATAGAAGTGCTAGGGAACTGACTCTTCTGGGGTAGTCAAATTTTCTATCAAGTTCAAAGTCACATTTTATTTGAATAAAATATAATTTATGAAAAGCAAAAAGGATGCGTTTAAAAATACTTGATTTTTCTGCGCTGTTATCTGCAATTTTTTTTTTTTAAGCATGTATATCTTTATTGAGTTTTACAGATTACATAACCATTAAAGGGATAGACGAATCATGTACAGGTAAATATATTTCCATGGCCAGCCGGCCTCACATGTAGAGACGTATTTGCTTCTGGGAATAGTTAATAAACAAGTAAAATGTGTAAAGCTTATAGAACTTATAAAACTTATAAAACATCCATTGTCTGAGGTAATAACATTTTGACATCCTGGTAATACGTTTAACAACACTGCTACAAAATCGCTATAGGATGTGAAACAATAGGTGTTGGACAATAGGAGATATTATACCTCTATATTGTATGTGTAATAGGAATGAGAATAAGATTGACTACCAAATAAAGGGTTTAGTATATACCAGATAAGTCGGATAGGAGGAGCTGATTTGGGAAGGTGGGAAGGGGGGGGGGATAGGGGTTTGGGTGTATTCAAAGAATTAAGTTTTAGACTCATTAAGCCAGGACTATCACTGAAATGGACAAGGTATACAGTAGGTATGTATAATGGGAGAGCACTGCAATAAAAACCTGTTAGAAGTGAGGAATTTACAGAAACGTGTTAGTGAAAGGAAGAAACCGATAGGAGTGTCATCAGGATTGTGTAATTACCCCCATGTCTTGAACCCCCGTTAGAATTAGATGTAGCATATTACATGTAAACCCCTATAATGATAGATAAATCATAAGACGTCTAGCCCTCCTAGGGAGCCATTCCTGCAATTTTTTAAGTTGGTGACAGGGCCTCTTTAAATACACTGGCAGTGTTTTCTGGATAGCACTACCAAATCAGTTATTCATTGTGCGTGCCTGTAGCTGCTGACTGAGGGAAAGGGATAGGAATACACCTCTCTTATCTCACTCCGGAACTATGGTATTTGAGTACACAGAAGAAAAAAAAGAGGATATTTTTGGACAGAAATGTGAGTTCACTATTTCAAAATAAGCACATTTTCTGTTAATTTAGTCAGAGGAAATATATTTGTCCAGCAGCGACTGTTCCTGGCATGACCCACAGGTCACAAGTTGGGTTCATACCTCATCCTGCACTGCATAAAAAGGGAATCCCTGCCCATAGGAGACACACAGACCTACAGACAGGCAGAGATACATGATGTGGTTCTCCAGTGCTGTTATGGTCATTGTTCTGCTGGGCCTGATATGCATAGCATGGCTGAAAGGGAAAACTGAAAATAAAACACTTCTGCCACCCGGACCTCCCCCACTACCTCTGATAGGTAACCTTTTGCAAATGAGGCATAAGCTGCTGGTGGCACTGGAGAAGGTAAGCAAGACAATGAGTTCATACCAACACTCACACATAGGGGTGATCTGACTACCATGGAAGTTGAACTGTTTTTAAAGTGTAACTTTTGCTTTAGCTTTCAGTAGAGCAGGAAGTGCTCAGAACCCCCTTGCCTCCAAGGGGAGATTTAACTGCTTAATTTTTCCTGGTGACTATTGCCACAAAGAAAGAACATTATGGGAAAACGAAAATGTTGAGTCTTCACCAGAACTGGAAATCTTCCAGTGGTGACATTTGTTGCAGTGATAACTAAGAAAGAATTTCCCTCCCCCAAAATGCAAAGAGGCAGTGAAGACTATGTCAGTGGTAGGCAACCTTGGCGTTCCAGCTGTTGTAAAACTAAAAGTCCCATGAGGCATTGCAACACTGACAGCCACAGGCATGACTCCCAGGAGCATGGGAATTTATGGGATTTGTAGTTTCACTACAGCTGGAATGTTAAGGTTGCCCAACCATGGTGTATGTAGATGAAAGGAGGCATTCTTGCCTCTGCCAGGAGCACAGTTGACTATGGGGTGGGGGGAGCTGTGATGTCAGGTTGGAACAACAAGCCTCTAACACTTCTGGAGTTGTTGGAGGAAGAGCAAGGCACTACTAGCAGAATTAAAAAAAAGAAAGGCAGCCACAAATGTTACATTGTAATATTCACATAAAATCTTCATCTAAAAAGTATGGGTTGGTAACGGAGTCAATAAAAAGATTGAGCCTTGTGTAATTTACATAGACTAATAGACTACACTGTCCCTTTAAAAAGTTTCTGTTTGGTCTTCATTTTCATTTCAATGGGGCCCTATTACTACGATGCTAGTAGTATGGCCCATTCAAGGATACAGGGAGCAGGATAGTCATGGAGGAGCCTGCCACTATAAGAGGTAAGAAGCACTAAGTGAACTTGTCCTTTAAATCAGGCACATGGCTTGCAGAGATCAGGTTGTTTATGGCCACTTATCCAGCGTTATCTTCACAAAAAAGATTATGTCATTGTTGCTCTTTTTTTTGTATAATAAGCACCTTATACCTGACCTTACCTCTTTCTTTTCTCCTCTCTTTTGGTTATTCACAGTATCGGGAGAAATATGGTCCTATCTTTACTGTATATTTTGGATCTCGGCCAGTAGTGATATTATGTGGATATGATTTGGGAAAAGAGGCTCTAATAGAACAAAAAGACACATTCAGTGCAAGGGGGAAGATTCCAATGACTGAATATGTGTTGAATGGTTTTGGTAAGTATTTTCTGTTTGTTTTGGTTTTCTTGCTGTCTCCTGTGTGTTTTAGGTGATGCAATGCATGCATAAAGTGCACCTGTGCTTAGACTATGGATATTAAAGTTGTTACATATCCTTAACAAGCAGTAAAGGATCTCTCTAGCTGCTTGTACTGTAATGTAATTCATCCTTAAATAGATCACAACTCTGACTCTAAGGCTGTAGAATGTACATTGTGGACGTATTTCCATGTCTGGGATACCCAGCTGCGGTGTACAGCCACCCATAGTAGTGAATGGATGTATATGATTGTATGTGGGTTTACACTCTACTTGCCTAAACCATTTCTGATAACTTGCAGCACCTGCTGTGTGTTTTGTGCTGCCAAGACTCTGGTGTCAGAGAAAATACGGGTGGAGAAAATGTGGTTTTAGTGGTTCTATTGTGAATTTTGAAAATTAATTTCTCCACAACAGCTGCCTACAGCTATAAATGTGAATGATAGCTTGTTTTAAAGTTCTTCTACTGCTTGTGTAGAATATGTCATTATTTGAATCTGCATATCCTGGGCACAGATTCAAAGTGTAGGTATAGTAAAAACTATTTTTTTTTTGGTTTAAGATGGAGTAGGAAAAGTGAAAACCTCTGTCAGGTTTTTAATTTTTGTCGGTGTTCCTGTCAATGAGATTCCTCATCTCCATTGGTCCTGGTGTCCATTGTCTCAAGGACAGAAAGTGATGGGAAATACAAAATGTTTGACTTGTCACTGACAGGAATGGAGGGAAATCTTCCAATAGGGAAACCTGTTGAAATTAAATTGGACAGATGGAACACAGGCATAAAAAAAAAAAAACACCTTATTTATGTGCAATCCTATGCTTTTCCTTATTTCCACTCTTGCCTATCTCATTTACACTCTCTTATTATTCTACATTTAACTGATTTAATGAATCTGACTGGTGGCTTTATAACACCTCAGTACCGTGCATGCTACGTATTCTCTGCCCCAATCCATTTCAACCTCTCCAAATAAATTTCAAACACACCATATGTTAAATAGGAAATATTTGACCCTTCTGGGGTCTAAAAAAGTATTGACTCTTCTCTTTCTCTCTCTTTTTAAATATATGTATTACATCTCGCATATAAATGATTACATATTTTTCAGGGATTACAGCTACTAACGGAGAACGGTGGAAACAAATGCGCCGCTTTGCTCTTACTTCATTGAGAAATTTTGGGATGGGGAAGAGACCCATCGATGAGAGAATCCAAGAAGAAGCCCACTTTCTGGGGGAAGAATTCAGCAAAACGAAAGGTAAAAAACGAATTATGTTAGGAAAAATAGTTTCATCTGTTCTTTCTTTTTACAGTAAAACAGATGTGATGGACAAAGAGTGGTCACAGCAACCAATCAGCTTTCACTCACTGATGTCACAGCTGTGAAATATGATTTATTTCTGTATTTTCCAACACTTGGCACAACTAAATAAGTCACTTTGTATCAAGGTTTTTTTCTCCCTGCATTCAGAAAGAAAGGCTTTCCCTACTTTAATAAAATGTCATTAATCTTTTGTGGTTATCAGCCCTGCTGTTAAATTGTTCTGAAGGTGAATGAGGAGCCTCAATAAAGTAGAATTTTAAAATCTGTGATAGTTTAAAAAATTGAGTTTATTGGTAAAGCTTGAGCAAAAAATAGCCATCTTGTTCCAAGGTTCTCCCTTTTGTCAGGGCTAAAGACCTAAACATTATACATGGTTTGTAGTTTCATATACAATATGGGTGTGATCCTATAGGGGAAGAGGAGCTTGTGCTCTGTTCTTATGGGTGAGTTCCAAACCTTGCTGGATGTTGTGCTGTGTCCTTTCTTTCTAAAGAAAAGAAGTTTCCTGCTGCATTCCTTACCGGGATTCCCATGCAGTTCTGCAGGTGGATGTTGTTTCATAGTTTCATATACAACATGGGTGTGATCCTTTAGGGCACATGTGTCAAACTCAAGGCCCAGGGGCCGAATCCGACCCACCAGGCCATTTCCTAGACTACTTTCAGATCTATGTATTAAGTTATTACTAAAACCTGTGATAATCGAATGCAGAGGCAATTATGATAAAGATTAGATACATTTATATAGTCTTACAGGCCCTTTAAGGGCAACCATAATGCTGATACGGCCCTCGATTAAATTGAGTTTGACACCCCTGCTTTAGGGGAAGAGGAGCTTGTGCTCTGTTCTTATGGGTGAGTTCCAAAACTTGTTGGATATTGTGCTGTGTCCTTTCTTTTTAAAGAAAAGAAGTTCCTTGCTGCACTCCTTACCGGGATCCCCATGCAGATCTGCAGGTGGATGCTTGAAGTGACTGCGGATGGCGCTGCCAACGTGTAGATATTTGAAGAATGGTACCAGCACACCAGTTTCTTTACAGCACATGAATAGTCATTTATTGACGTATGCCTTCTCTCGTTTTGCTTTCTTCCTAAAGGTCCCTTAATCTGAACCTTTAAAAATGCAGATAAGGGTGTTGCAATTCCCAACAAAAGAGGTTTTTAAAGGCAGCAAAATGTGGCTACTCTGGAATATATAAACATTTGGACATAGTGGCAATGTTCCTTGGACATTATTATCAGATCACTGATAGTTGACGTTTAACTAATATCCAAATTGGTCTTTAATGAAAATAAACTGAATGTTTCTAATGGTTATAATGTGTTTTCCTCTTACATGTTATAATTTTATGTTGTTTATAGGGGAGCCATTTGACCCGACATTTCTCTTGAGTTGCGCGGTATCCAACATCATCTGCTCCATTGTATTTGGGAGGCGTTTTGATTACAATGATAAACATTTCTTATCACTGCTTCGTAATATTAATGGGATCCTTCGCATTATGAACTCTGGTTGGGGCTTGGTAAGTAAATTAATGAACTGATATTGAGTTCTGTGATCCCACAGTTTAATCAATCAATGTCCAATCAAAAAATGCCTTGTATTTTGTGACTAGGATACAGGATGTGTTAATAATTTGTGAGGGGCAGAGTGGTTGACTGCCATCACTGCACTGTAATCACAACAGGAGAACCCAAAATATGTCAAGAAGACAAACATCTTTAGCATTCCCAGCAGCCCTCCAGATGTATTATGCCAAGCATAAGATGTAACTAAGCTAGACCAACCTAAAGTAAAAAACATGTTTTTTTACTGGAGTTCAGCTTTAAATAATGGAAGCTGCAATCAGAGTCTTTTCAGACAGGTATTTTGTGGCATGTTCTTTTTAACAAAAACTTGTGAACTTGAGTACAGGCGGCTGTAGCTAATTTAAAATGATACTAAACTCATGGATTAGATCTTAAAAATGCATTCAAGTACCTTAACTATTAACAAAAATGTAGAATATTTGTGTATCAGTCAGCTGTAGATTCTGAATTCGAGCTGATTCTGTCCTTCCTTCTGGAGGGTGGCTACTTTTGTTCCCCATGGTCCCTGTGTGTGTTGTGACATAGCCACTGCTCCAAGCACACTCCTGTGATGGACTACAATCTCAATAAAATTAGAAAAACTAAATGTGAGATTGTGTGCACAGAGCGATGACTACTTTACAACACACACAGGAACCATGGGGAACAAAAGTAGCACCCCTCCAGAAGGAAGGACAGTGTCAGCAAGAATTCAGAGACAATTTGAGGATCTACAGCCGAGTGATACACAAAAGAGCTCAATTTTTTTAATGGTTAGGGTACGTGAATGCATTTTTAAGATTTAACTCCAAGTTTAGTATCACTTTAGGTAAATAATGTAGAATTATATAATAGTTGCCTTTCTTTTACTTAATACAGTTATAAATATTTGTGCACTCGCCTTTTAATCTATGTTGAATTTTGATTGTTCTTGTTATATAAACCGTCTCCTAATATTTTAGGTTGTGTACCACTTTGAACGGGTTATGCGCTATATTCCAGGACCTCCTCAGCGAGGGGTGCGCTATTTCAGTGAGCTCAAGGCATTTGTTCATGAGATTGTGGAAGAGAGTCTGAAGACCCTGGACCCCAATTCCCCCCGACACTTTATTGATTGTTTTCTAATGAAGATTCAGCAGGTAACGTGGACAGAATGCCCAACGGCAAGAAGATATTTTCTTGTTTAGTCACTATTTTGTAAATATGAAGCACTGTATAAAGATGGAAATTAAGTATATATTTACAAAACTCTCAAAAGGGGAAGAGAGAAATAGAAAATAAGGCAAAATGGATGCTAACATCAAATAATATCTTTACTCAGTGAAGTGTTTATTCAACCAAAAGTTTAGAACCCCTGGCTGGTTAAGCTGTTCCAATAACAATAATATTACCATACAGGAAGTGAAGGGAAAATATCCAACAATGATAAAGACAGAATTACTTTTTTTTTTAATTAGGGAAAGGCTAGAGCCCAATTCTGTTTTTTGTTGCTGTTTGATTATGGTACCATCAATCCAAAAATATGATAAAAATGTTGTCTTTCCTGTGACTTCCTATAAATAAACTTTTGGGACCTAACTGCTTAAAGCTGAACCTATAACCTATAGCCAGTTTTGTTATATGTAATTATACATGTATCACATCCATTGAGGTCAGGCCGGAAGTTGGGGATGCTGAAACTCACTGTAGCTGTCTGTGCTATATACAGTCAGTACTCCCTTTTTTGGTGCCACCAGTGGAACAGATTTAAGAAAAAAGCAAGGCTAGGCCCAAATTTAATAGAGACAAAGAACACAGTCTGGGGTTTTACTAGAAGAATTAAGATACAGCAGAGTAAAATTGGCCAGCAGCAGGACAGTTATATTCAGGGCCAAAAGGGCCCTAGCAATATAAAAAAAAACACAAAATAAATGAAAACCCCAAAATACCACACTGGAAACAAAAGCCCACTTTTTCCAAAGAGAAGACTTGCAGCAAAAACCTCTCTCTCAGTCTGTTGCAGTCTCACCAACATACAGAGGAGTTGGAGAGGGGATTTACACTGTTTTCCTAGCTCTGCATCAAGACAAAGAGCAAACACTGGATTGGCTGACTGTCTTTCTCGATAGAAAAAGGAACAGTCCTTTCACCATAGGTGTTATGAGTCAGAGACAGGTTTTGGTGGGCCACAAAAACAAAAATAGTTGTTAATGTTCCTATTAAATGCTCTATTCAGTGTGGTTGCTAAATTTCTGCAAAACCACAAGTTTTAGATCTGATCCAGTCTGCATCTCCTCTCCACTACCCTACAAACAAATGCCACAAATATTGTAAAGAGTGTAAAGTATGTTTTAGCTGGTAAACACAAAATGATGACCATTTTTGTGGTGAACAGTCAAAGAAAAAGAATCACACCTATGAATTTGGAGTGCTAGGGAACTGACTCTTCTGGGGTAGTCAAATTTTCTATCAAGTTCAAAGTCACATTTTATTTGAATAAAATATAATTTATGAAAAGCAAAAAGGATGCGTTTAAAAATACTTGATTTTTCTGCGCTGTTATCTGCAATTTTTTTTTTTTAAGCATGTATATCTTTATTGAGTTTTACAGATTACATAACCATTAAAGGGATAGACGAATCATGTACAGGTAAATATATTTCCATGGCCAGCCGGCCTCACATGTAGAGACGTATTTGCTTCTGGGAATAGTTAATAAACAAGTAAAATGTGTAAAGCTTATAGAACTTATAAAACTTATAAAACATCCATTGTCTGAGGTAATAACATTTTGACATCCTGGTAATACGTTTAACAACACTGCTACAAAATCGCTATAGGATGTGAAACAATAGGTGTTGGACAATAGGAGATATTATACCTCTATATTGTATGTGTAATAGGAATGAGAATAAGATTGACTACCAAATAAAGGGTTTAGTATATACCAGATAAGTCGGATAGGAGGAGCTGATTTGGGAAGGTGGGAAGGGGGGGGGGATAGGGGTTTGGGTGTATTCAAAGAATTAAGTTTTAGACTCATTAAGCCAGGACTATCACTGAAATGGACAAGGTATACAGTAGGTATGTATAATGGGAGAGCACTGCAATAAAAACCTGTTAGAAGTGAGGAATTTACAGAAACGTGTTAGTGAAAGGAAGAAACCGATAGGAGTGTCATCAGGATTGTGTAATTACCCCCATGTCTTGAACAGGGATAGGGGTTTGGGTGTATTCAAAGAATTAAGTTTTAGACTCATTAAGCCAGGACTATCACTGAAATGGACAAGGTATACAGTAGGTATGTATAATGGGAGAGCACTGCAATAAAAACCTGTTAGAAGTGAGGAATTTACCGAAACGTGTTCGTGAAAGGAAGAAACCGATAGGAGTGTCATCAGGATTGTGTAATTACCCCCATGTCTTGAACCCCCGTTAGAATTAGATGTAGCATATTACATGTAAACCCCTATAATGATAGATAAATCATAAGACGTCTAGCCCTCCTAGGGAGCCATTCCTGCAATTTTTTAAGTTGGTGACAGGGCCTCTTTAAATACACTGGCAGTGTTTTCTGGATAGCACTACCAAATCAGTTATTCATTGTGCGTGCCTGTAGCTGCTGACTGAGGGAAAGGGATAGGAATACACCTCTCTTATCTCACTCCGGAACTATGGTATTTGAGTACACAGAAGAAAAAAAAGAGGATATTTTTGGACAGAAATGTGAGTTCACTATTTCAAAATAAGCACATTTTCTGTTAATTTAGTCAGAGGAAATATATTTGTCCAGCAGCGACTGTTCCTGGCATGACCCACAGGTCACAAGTTGGGTTCATACCTCATCCTGCACTGCATAAAAAGGGAATCCCTGCCCATAGGAGACACACAGACCTACAGACAGGCAGAGATACATGATGTGGTTCTCCAGTGCTGTTATGGTCATTGTTCTGCTGGGCCTGATATGCATAGCATGGCTGAAAGGGAAAACTGAAAATAAAACACTTCTGCCACCCGGACCTCCCCCACTACCTCTGATAGGTAACCTTTTGCAAATGAGGCATAAGCTGCTGGTGGCACTGGAGAAGGTAAGCAAGACAATGAGTTCATACCAACACTCACACATAGGGGTGATCTGACTACCATGGAAGTTGAACTGTTTTTAAAGTGTAACTTTTGCTTTAGCTTTCAGTAGAGCAGGAAGTGCTCAGAACCCCCTTGCCTCCAAGGGGAGATTTAACTGCTTAATTTTTCCTGGTGACTATTGCCACAAAGAAAGAACATTATGGGAAAACGAAAATGTTGAGTCTTCACCAGAACTGGAAATCTTCCAGTGGTGACATTTGTTGCAGTGATAACTAAGAAAGAATTTCCCTCCCCCAAAATGCAAAGAGGCAGTGAAGACTATGTCAGTGGTAGGCAACCTTGGCGTTCCAGCTGTTGTAAAACTAAAAGTCCCATGAGGCATTGCAACACTGACAGCCACAGGCATGACTCCCAGGAGCATGGGAATTTATGGGATTTGTAGTTTCACTACAGCTGGAATGTTAAGGTTGCCCAACCATGGTGTATGTAGATGAAAGGAGGCATTCTTGCCTCTGCCAGGAGCACAGTTGACTATGGGGTGGGGGGAGCTGTGATGTCAGGTTGGAACAACAAGCCTCTAACACTTCTGGAGTTGTTGGAGGAAGAGCAAGGCACTACTAGCAGAATTAAAAAAAAGAAAGGCAGCCACAAATGTTACATTGTAATATTCACATAAAATCTTCATCTAAAAAGTATGGGTTGGTAACGGAGTCAATAAAAAGATTGAGCCTTGTGTAATTTACATAGACTAATAGACTACACTGTCCCTTTAAAAAGTTTCTGTTTGGTCTTCATTTTCATTTCAATGGGGCCCTATTACTACGATGCTAGTAGTATGGCCCATTCAAGGATACAGGGAGCAGGATAGTCATGGAGGAGCCTGCCACTATAAGAGGTAAGAAGCACTAAGTGAACTTGTCCTTTAAATCAGGCACATGGCTTGCAGAGATCAGGTTGTTTATGGCCACTTATCCAGCGTTATCTTCACAAAAAAGATTATGTCATTGTTGCTCTTTTTTTTGTATAATAAGCACCTTATACCTGACCTTACCTCTTTCTTTTCTCCTCTCTTTTGGTTATTCACAGTATCGGGAGAAATATGGTCCTATCTTTACTGTATATTTTGGATCTCGGCCAGTAGTGATATTATGTGGATATGATTTGGGAAAAGAGGCTCTAATAGAACAAAAAGACACATTCAGTGCAAGGGGGAAGATTCCAATGACTGAATATGTGTTGAATGGTTTTGGTAAGTATTTTCTGTTTGTTTTGGTTTTCTTGCTGTCTCCTGTGTGTTTTAGGTGATGCAATGCATGCATAAAGTGCACCTGTGCTTAGACTATGGATATTAAAGTTGTTACATATCCTTAACAAGCAGTAAAGGATCTCTCTAGCTGCTTGTACTGTAATGTAATTCATCCTTAAATAGATCACAACTCTGACTCTAAGGCTGTAGAATGTACATTGTGGACGTATTTCCATGTCTGGGATACCCAGCTGCGGTGTACAGCCACCCATAGTAGTGAATGGATGTATATGATTGTATGTGGGTTTACACTCTACTTGCCTAAACCATTTCTGATAACTTGCAGCACCTGCTGTGTGTTTTGTGCTGCCAAGACTCTGGTGTCAGAGAAAATACGGGTGGAGAAAATGTGGTTTTAGTGGTTCTATTGTGAATTTTGAAAATTAATTTCTCCACAACAGCTGCCTACAGCTATAAATGTGAATGATAGCTTGTTTTAAAGTTCTTCTACTGCTTGTGTAGAATATGTCATTATTTGAATCTGCATATCCTGGGCACAGATTCAAAGTGTAGGTATAGTAAAAACTATTTTTTTTTTGGTTTAAGATGGAGTAGGAAAAGTGAAAACCTCTGTCAGGTTTTTAATTTTTGTCGGTGTTCCTGTCAATGAGATTCCTCATCTCCATTGGTCCTGGTGTCCATTGTCTCAAGGACAGAAAGTGATGGGAAATACAAAATGTTTGACTTGTCACTGACAGGAATGGAGGGAAATCTTCCAATAGGGAAACCTGTTGAAATTAAATTGGACAGATGGAACACAGGCATAAAAAAAAAAAAACACCTTATTTATGTGCAATCCTATGCTTTTCCTTATTTCCACTCTTGCCTATCTCATTTACACTCTCTTATTATTCTACATTTAACTGATTTAATGAATCTGACTGGTGGCTTTATAACACCTCAGTACCGTGCATGCTACGTATTCTCTGCCCCAATCCATTTCAACCTCTCCAAATAAATTTCAAACACACCATATGTTAAATAGGAAATATTTGACCCTTCTGGGGTCTAAAAAAGTATTGACTCTTCTCTTTCTCTCTCTTTTTAAATATATGTATTACATCTCGCATATAAATGATTACATATTTTTCAGGGATTACAGCTACTAACGGAGAACGGTGGAAACAAATGCGCCGCTTTGCTCTTACTTCATTGAGAAATTTTGGGATGGGGAAGAGACCCATCGATGAGAGAATCCAAGAAGAAGCCCACTTTCTGGGGGAAGAATTCAGCAAAACGAAAGGTAAAAAACGAATTATGTTAGGAAAAATAGTTTCATCTGTTCTTTCTTTTTACAGTAAAACAGATGTGATGGACAAAGAGTGGTCACAGCAACCAATCAGCTTTCACTCACTGATGTCACAGCTGTGAAATATGATTTATTTCTGTATTTTCCAACACTTGGCACAACTAAATAAGTCACTTTGTATCAAGGTTTTTTTCTCCCTGCATTCAGAAAGAAAGGCTTTCCCTACTTTAATAAAATGTCATTAATCTTTTGTGGTTATCAGCCCTGCTGTTAAATTGTTCTGAAGGTGAATGAGGAGCCTCAATAAAGTAGAATTTTAAAATCTGTGATAGTTTAAAAAATTGAGTTTATTGGTAAAGCTTGAGCAAAAAATAGCCATCTTGTTCCAAGGTTCTCCCTTTTGTCAGGGCTAAAGACCTAAACATTATACATGGTTTGTAGTTTCATATACAATATGGGTGTGATCCTATAGGGGAAGAGGAGCTTGTGCTCTGTTCTTATGGGTGAGTTCCAAACCTTGCTGGATGTTGTGCTGTGTCCTTTCTTTCTAAAGAAAAGAAGTTTCCTGCTGCATTCCTTACCGGGATTCCCATGCAGTTCTGCAGGTGGATGTTGTTTCATAGTTTCATATACAACATGGGTGTGATCCTTTAGGGCACATGTGTCAAACTCAAGGCCCAGGGGCCGAATCCGACCCACCAGGCCATTTCCTAGACTACTTTCAGATCTATGTATTAAGTTATTACTAAAACCTGTGATAATCGAATGCAGAGGCAATTATGATAAAGATTAGATACATTTATATAGTCTTACAGGCCCTTTAAGGGCAACCATAATGCTGATACGGCCCTCGATTAAATTGAGTTTGACACCCCTGCTTTAGGGGAAGAGGAGCTTGTGCTCTGTTCTTATGGGTGAGTTCCAAAACTTGTTGGATATTGTGCTGTGTCCTTTCTTTTTAAAGAAAAGAAGTTCCTTGCTGCACTCCTTACCGGGATCCCCATGCAGATCTGCAGGTGGATGCTTGAAGTGACTGCGGATGGCGCTGCCAACGTGTAGATATTTGAAGAATGGTACCAGCACACCAGTTTCTTTACAGCACATGAATAGTCATTTATTGACGTATGCCTTCTCTCGTTTTGCTTTCTTCCTAAAGGTCCCTTAATCTGAACCTTTAAAAATGCAGATAAGGGTGTTGCAATTCCCAACAAAAGAGGTTTTTAAAGGCAGCAAAATGTGGCTACTCTGGAATATATAAACATTTGGACATAGTGGCAATGTTCCTTGGACATTATTATCAGATCACTGATAGTTGACGTTTAACTAATATCCAAATTGGTCTTTAATGAAAATAAACTGAATGTTTCTAATGGTTATAATGTGTTTTCCTCTTACATGTTATAATTTTATGTTGTTTATAGGGGAGCCATTTGACCCGACATTTCTCTTGAGTTGCGCGGTATCCAACATCATCTGCTCCATTGTATTTGGGAGGCGTTTTGATTACAATGATAAACATTTCTTATCACTGCTTCGTAATATTAATGGGATCCTTCGCATTATGAACTCTGGTTGGGGCTTGGTAAGTAAATTAATGAACTGATATTGAGTTCTGTGATCCCACAGTTTAATCAATCAATGTCCAATCAAAAAATGCCTTGTATTTTGTGACTAGGATACAGGATGTGTTAATAATTTGTGAGGGGCAGAGTGGTTGACTGCCATCACTGCACTGTAATCACAACAGGAGAACCCAAAATATGTCAAGAAGACAAACATCTTTAGCATTCCCAGCAGCCCTCCAGATGTATTATGCCAAGCATAAGATGTAACTAAGCTAGACCAACCTAAAGTAAAAAACATGTTTTTTTACTGGAGTTCAGCTTTAAATAATGGAAGCTGCAATCAGAGTCTTTTCAGACAGGTATTTTGTGGCATGTTCTTTTTAACAAAAACTTGTGAACTTGAGTACAGGCGGCTGTAGCTAATTTAAAATGATACTAAACTCATGGATTAGATCTTAAAAATGCATTCAAGTACCTTAACTATTAACAAAAATGTAGAATATTTGTGTATCAGTCAGCTGTAGATTCTGAATTCGAGCTGATTCTGTCCTTCCTTCTGGAGGGTGGCTACTTTTGTTCCCCATGGTCCCTGTGTGTGTTGTGACATAGCCACTGCTCCAAGCACACTCCTGTGATGGACTACAATCTCAATAAAATTAGAAAAACTAAATGTGAGATTGTGTGCACAGAGCGATGACTACTTTACAACACACACAGGAACCATGGGGAACAAAAGTAGCACCCCTCCAGAAGGAAGGACAGTGTCAGCAAGAATTCAGAGACAATTTGAGGATCTACAGCCGAGTGATACACAAAAGAGCTCAATTTTTTTAATGGTTAGGGTACGTGAATGCATTTTTAAGATTTAACTCCAAGTTTAGTATCACTTTAGGTAAATAATGTAGAATTATATAATAGTTGCCTTTCTTTTACTTAATACAGTTATAAATATTTGTGCACTCGCCTTTTAATCTATGTTGAATTTTGATTGTTCTTGTTATATAAACCGTCTCCTAATATTTTAGGTTGTGTACCACTTTGAACGGGTTATGCGCTATATTCCAGGACCTCCTCAGCGAGGGGTGCGCTATTTCAGTGAGCTCAAGGCATTTGTTCATGAGATTGTGGAAGAGAGTCTGAAGACCCTGGACCCCAATTCCCCCCGACACTTTATTGATTGTTTTCTAATGAAGATTCAGCAGGTAACGTGGACAGAATGCCCAACGGCAAGAAGATATTTTCTTGTTTAGTCACTATTTTGTAAATATGAAGCACTGTATAAAGATGGAAATTAAGTATATATTTACAAAACTCTCAAAAGGGGAAGAGAGAAATAGAAAATAAGGCAAAATGGATGCTAACATCAAATAATATCTTTACTCAGTGAAGTGTTTATTCAACCAAAAGTTTAGAACCCCTGGCTGGTTAAGCTGTTCCAATAACAATAATATTACCATACAGGAAGTGAAGGGAAAATATCCAACAATGATAAAGACAGAATTACTTTTTTTTTTAATTAGGGAAAGGCTAGAGCCCAATTCTGTTTTTTGTTGCTGTTTGATTATGGTACCATCAATCCAAAAATATGATAAAAATGTTGTCTTTCCTGTGACTTCCTATAAATAAACTTTTGGGACCTAACTGCTTAAAGCTGAACCTATAACCTATAGCCAGTTTTGTTATATGTAATTATACATGTATCACATCCATTGAGGTCAGGCCGGAAGTTGGGGATGCTGAAACTCACTGTAGCTGTCTGTGCTATATACAGTCAGTACTCCCTTTTTTGGTGCCACCAGTGGAACAGATTTAAGAAAAAAGCAAGGCTAGGCCCAAATTTAATAGAGACAAAGAACACAGTCTGGGGTTTTACTAGAAGAATTAAGATACAGCAGAGTAAAATTGGCCAGCAGCAGGACAGTTATATTCAGGGCCAAAAGGGCCCTAGCAATATAAAAAAAAACACAAAATAAATGAAAACCCCAAAATACCACACTGGAAACAAAAGCCCACTTTTTCCAAAGAGAAGACTTGCAGCAAAAACCTCTCTCTCAGTCTGTTGCAGTCTCACCAACATACAGAGGAGTTGGAGAGGGGATTTACACTGTTTTCCTAGCTCTGCATCAAGACAAAGAGCAAACACTGGATTGGCTGACTGTCTTTCTCGATAGAAAAAGGAACAGTCCTTTCACCATAGGTGTTATGAGTCAGAGACAGGTTTTGGTGGGCCACAAAAACAAAAATAGTTGTTAATGTTCCTATTAAATGCTCTATTCAGTGTGGTTGCTAAATTTCTGCAAAACCACAAGTTTTAGATCTGATCCAGTCTGCATCTCCTCTCCACTACCCTACAAACAAATGCCACAAATATTGTAAAGAGTGTAAAGTATGTTTTAGCTGGTAAACACAAAATGATGACCATTTTTGTGGTGAACAGTCAAAGAAAAAGAATCACACCTATGAATTTGGGTCAGTGTTGGGATTCCCAGGATATGGATATGGACATGGAGGATATTACGGACCTTTATCCTATTTGTTGAGGAGGGATGTTAAGGAGGCAAACCTATTTACTTTGGACTCCTCAACATCCCAGCTTCGATATCCCTACAACTCTCTTGCTGAATACACGAGATTACAGAAGAGTGAAACTGTTTAAGAAACAGTTATCATAATTTGTAAATTTTGAAGCTTGGTTCAAACTCGGCTTACCCTGCAGGCCAAGGGACTGGTCCACAAGTGCCATTATGGTATATACAAACCTTGGTACATGGCCACCCTTTGATATATAAACAGACACACAACACTGTGGCTTTTCATATTGACAAACCTAACACCCAACAAAGTCTGCACAATAGCTCCCAAACACCTCCGAGGTAGTAGAATGCCTTAACACTTTTCATACCATACCATTGAGCTTATACATATATATGGCTATTGTTCAGACTTTATAGACTTTTGTTTGTTGTTGGAGAGATTGGGGAGCTACATTAGCTACAATATATAACATTTTTGTTCATGGGTTTAGATTTGCTTTTAAGATTACCTGAGATAAACTGTTTTAGTTACTGATGTTACTGTATTTACTTGCAGAATAAGGACAAGCCAAACACAGAATTTCATATGGACAATCTTGTGGCTTCAACAGTAAACCTATTTACTGCTGGGACAGAAACTGTCAGCACAACTCTTCGCTATGGCTTTCTCATCCTGATGAAATATCCAGAAGTTCAAGGTAATCTGAAATGTAGAAATTGTATTGTGTATGTAAACCAAAAATAAAAAAAAACATAAGATTTGAACATTCTTTTTTTCTTCAAATTGCATTTTTTTGTTTTGTTTGGTATTTCTCACAGTTCCTTCACATCCTTCCTAGCATGACAACACTCCCTGAGTGAGTGCCTAGGCAGAAGCAATGCTGCTACCCTGGGATAAACTCTAGTTGTTTCATTTTATTACATCTAAAATGAAAAATTACTTTAGACACGTTTTAATGGACTACAGATACATTCAACCACCAACCAATTTTCTTTTTGAAACACACATCATAGGATCACCCTTACATACAGCTTTTTCTAAAGCTGAGAGGGGAGGGCTCAGTGGTAAACATCAACAATCCACCACTTTGCCAGACGCTAGTCAAACGGAAATATCTGTAGTAGTCTGCTGATATTCATGGACATTTGGCTTTTTACCTGATCTGTCCATAATTGGAAGAGCTGCCAACAATCATTACATGTCTACAGGAACATTTACTTTTAGTTGCAATTATACTTATTTGGTGTAATGACCCTTTAACATGTATCATTCAGTTAAGGTCCAGAAGGAGATTGATCAAGTGCTAGGCCAGCGTTGCCCATCAGCAGAAGACAAAACCAAGATGCCTTACACTGAGGCCGTGATCAATGAGATTCAAAGATTTGCTGACATTATCCCAACTGGACTTCCACACTGCACAATAGAGGATGTATCATTCCAGGGCTATGTAATACCCAAGGTAAGGTGTTTAAGATTCTGCGTGTGCAAAGGGCAGTTAAATGAATACAATAGTTGAAATTTAGAATAAATCTACAAATATGTTAATAGCTATTTACATGTCTACCTTTTGATGGACACACAGTTAGAAAGAAAACATTTTGAGGCCTAAAGCAGCTAATAAAGTATGACTCTGACAAAGCCACAGCTAAGCATCACAAACAGAAATTGACTTAGTCTAGCCAGACATGGGACAGTTTTCTGTCAAACAATCTTCACAGACTGGAATCTCTTTTGTGCTCACAACCCCCTCCCAATCCACTGATACTCACCTTCCCTGCTCTCCCCCACTGCACCATTCCTCTGTCAAGAGTCCAGGGTACTAGCCCGATGTAAGCTTCATGTCACTCTGTGTTGGAGCTTACAGAGGGTTAATGACCTTCTCCATTCTGTGACAGTGTTTAGGTTTTGGAATTGGCTGCTTAAGCCCCAGCACTACATCCTAAGAGGAATGTGAGACTGTTGCAAACTACTTGGTACCTATAAATGCTCCAACAAATGGACAGAGCAGAAGTACTTGTCTAAGGTGAGCATAAGGGGGCAGAGCTGTGCTTTAACAAGAGAACCTGTCACTTTGCCATGAATGAGCAAAGCCCCAGATTCTCTTCAAAGCTGGGGAACATTATTTTGGGTTTGTATAAAAATGTAATGTTTAAGGAACACCAGCAAAATAAATTACAACACCCATTCAAATGTTGCAATAAGTGGAGCTAATAGAAAAGTCTAATTAATTTGTGTTGAAAACAGTATCAACAGATGTCAAAAGCATTTCCAGGGGGTGTTTCACCGATTAGGGCTTCTAGACCATGACCTGAACACACCTTTAAACATGTACACATGAACTCCACTTCGATAAGACTTGCTCTGTGTCCAGTTACCTTCCTCTCCTTCTGATGAAGGGAGATTGGTAACACTCCTGAAATGCATTAGCTACATGTTGTTACTGTTGTGATCAATAAAAAATTATTTAAATTACAACCACATTTATGGTGCTCACTTCCCTCTACTATACATATTGCTAATTTTCTGAGGACCTATTTGGGACCAATATACTCTCCAGAGCTACCTATGGTTACTACAAATTTAAATTTGGAATACCTAAAAAAGAATCACAATGATTATCCAACGCTTCGCCAACAATTTTTTTCTCTAAATTCTAAAACGTCACATTTTTTATAGTAAGTTTCTGCCCACCAGATGAAATTCAAGCTTGCACACTGATAAATTGGAGGCGGTAGAATTTAGCTGCACTTGTAGATAGTAGCTAGAATGGAGGGTGGTGGAGAAACATCTCTATGATATTATCCAGTTTATATAATAAGGAAGGCGTGGGTGGTCACAAGACTATGTCCCTTACCTTATACACATTTGGCAGTCAAACACTTTCTATACGTGTATTACACCTGTGTTTTTACTTTTGTTGGAATTGCCCTTTAGGATTACAATATTGATATAACTTTTTTCCTCTTTTAAAATATATCAGGGTACAGATGTGTTCTCTTTACTTACTACCATACTGAAGGATCCCACACAGTTTACAGATCCAGAAGTGTTCTCCCCGACCAGGTTCCTGGACAGTAATGGAGGCCTAGAGAAGAAAGCGGCACTGATGCCTTTTTCTGCAGGTAATACGGTTGTTCTGCTTTGTTAAGCAGCTTTTTAAAGAAAAATTGTCACGCCCTGTCAAATTAAACCCTCTGGTGTGTATTCATACCTTTAACTCCATTTAAATCCCTGCCACTGCCAAGTCACCAGTGATCCCCAGCACTTGCCAACAATAGCTAGTATAGTCAAAACTTGCACAATGAGAGCAATGAAACATAGTTATGGACTCTGCATCTTTGAAAGTCGAGTGACATATCACGCGTTCTCCCATGCCTGGAAATGTTAGGATTTTTAGAAAATAGTGGTAAGGATAAGAATAGGCAGTGAAGGTTGAAAGGGGAAAGGTTGAGGCTTTTGTTGTGACAGATGTGCCTAATTATTGGATTATTTTAAACACAATCCTAAAGTGAAACTCGACCTTCATTAAATAGTTGACCCTTTCAAATGTAGTTGTAACGTACCAGCAATATGCTGCTATCTACTTGTATTCTCTTCCTTTTAGAGCAAAAATGTCAGCCCCGTGTCAGGCTGTAATGCCCATGGAGGCTGATCTGCCTTCTACCTGAGCTCTGAGCTGTCAACTGACATTGTGCCCGGGATGCAGCAGAAGGATATAACTATCAGTAATAAAGCCTTCAGTTATCTTTCATCTGATCCCGACAGTCCCTTTGTTGTATGACAATTTTCTGAGTGTCTATTATCAGCACTTAGCTTAGAAAGAAGATGGAGAGCCCTCCAGTCTGACACTGAACCTGACACTGCTGCCCAGACAGGGAGAAAATACAAGTAAAAAAAAAAGAAATTTCTTAGATGCTTTATTCTCATAAGAATTTCTAAGCTGAAATTTAGTTTATTACTTATGTTCTTTTCTGACTAGTTGTGGTTGACAGTTGAACACTACTATGATAGACAAAACTTGAAAATGATTTTAGAATCTTTCAGTATAGGTAAACTCTCAATTTTAAATGAACTATGGAAGAAACCACTGTCAGTTTTGTTTTGAGGGGTTTTTTTTCCATCTGTGTCCCACTGGGGAGATTTCCTTTCACTTTCTTTCTCGCAGACAAAACAGGAAGTAAAAGGAGATCCTTACAAAGTGAGGGACACCCCTCTGGATAGTTGTCTCCTATACAAGTGTCCACATTGGAAGGTTTCACCTCTACTTCTGTTCTAAAGACAGCTCAAAATGTTTACTTTCTTTTACTTTCAGTCCTATTAACAATGGTCACCAGGATAAATAGAGAGGGGGAATCTCCCTAGCAGAAACATAGACGTCAATAAAAACCTTATTAAGGTCCAGCATGTCCCACAGCACTCCTCACAGCGTCTCCGGCCCGAATCACAATAATGGTGCTTGCAGTGATCCTCACGGATGACGCTGTGCACATCAAACCGCAAATGAACAGGAATCACCAGCACTCAGTGGAAAATATTCAAACGATAAAGTCCATTTAATCGGAAAAATCATCATACATGTTGCAATAATTATAACCAATGTTTCGGGGCCACGCAGGGACGCTTCATCAGGGCAACAATGTAACACCATTGATTGTAACACCTGATGAAGGGTCCCTCCGTGGCCCCGAAACGTCGGTTATAATTATTGCAACATGTATTATGATTTGTCCGATTAAATGGACTTTATCGTTTCAATATTTTCCACTGAGTGCTGGTGATTCCTGTTCATTTGCTGATCAATAAAAACCTGACAGGGATTTTACCTTCTCACCACTCTATCCAAAATTAGGCTTTATTATGTACTTTAAATTTTGTTGTTCTATCCCACACCTTAATACCATGTCTTGTATGCCTACAGGGAGGCGGATGTGCCCAGGGGAAGGCTTGGCACGCATGGAGCTTTTTATTTTCTTCAGCTCCCTCCTCCAGAAGTTCACCTTGACCTCACCGGTGCCTCTAGAAGAACTGACCTTAGCCCCTGAAGTCAGCAGTGCTGGACACTTTCCTTGCTTCTACAGAATGTCTGCCATTCCCCGCACCAGCACAACATAGTCTTGACTATATTTGTTGTATATTCTCATTGTGAATGATATTCAGCTTATATTTTCCTTTTGTATTATAGTAGCAAAATAAAAAATATTTTTATTGAAGCGCTTGACTGCATTGTAATGACTTTAAAAACAGCTAAGAAAATAAACAAAAACTCCTATTATGTATTCCTTCAACACATGATATGATAGCATACTAATCTCTGGCCAAAACTTAGATGTTAGAACCATTGACATTAGCCACAGAGACAGGAAGTGAGACTAAATGTTCTCACAGTCCTCCATATTCACATCCACCCATCAAGGAATATTGATTTTTTTTTGCATCAGGACGTGAGGGTGTACTGAGGCAGGGTACTGTGATGTTTTCAGGAAGCTGTTTACAGAACTCTGTTGGCCCCTCCTACCAGCCATGATTTGGATTTTTAACAGTGTACTTAGCTTTTACCTAACATTATTTGACAACAGATATCAGATATAATTTTCTGCCTGGTTCCGGTGGCTTATAGTTACAACCATGTCCACTCATATATTCATTACAAAATTAAGTTTATTGAGCAAATATTGTTCTTAACAAGCACAGAGCATTTTAGAACTCCCATTGTAACACACATTTATACAGTACTGCCAATTAAAGGGTACATAAATATGAAACAGTTCCTTTGCTCCACAATGGTTACATAATTACCCCAAAAACAAACCAGTAGGCATCACAAAACCTTCAAAAATCACAAGTTTCTCACTAATACACAATAGAGGTACAGCAAGCTGTGTACATAGCAAGCTCTGTTTTATACAGACAGGAGAGCTATAGTAACATTTAAGGAAACCTGAAGTGAAAGTATATTGTGGCTGCCATTAATGACCCTACTGCTAGTTGCCTGGTTGATATGAAGATCAAAAAGTTTGTGATTTCTAAGGCAATGATCAGAAACAGGTTTGTAGATTTTTTACTTCACTGTGACTCACTAATCTGAATGTTTGAACACACTGAAGCCAACTACAGCCAGACCACTACTGTAGTATTCTTGAAGGTCAGTAATGGCAGATCTTCACATTTCCCTCAACATAAGTTTCCTTTCAACCTTATGTATCAAAGTGAATGAGAAATATTCTGTCTATGTTGCACCTAAAAGTCTCAGCTTATTGTTTTTACTTTCTAAAACCTGTAAATGTCTTAGCAGAATCAACAAAAGGAATTAATTATGTGATCACTGGGATAACACTTAGTCCATTGGGACCATAACATTTACTAAGGGTACAGAGTAACAGGTAGGGCCGTGATTAGGAGGGGCTAGTAGCAGAGTTGGACATGCTACATTGACATTTTAACTAGTGTTGAATGGGTAAGTCCACCAAACCATGATATTTTAGCTATAGGTGAAACCTGGTGGGCTGAGGCAATCCCTGTTTTGGATACTCCAACAGCGAGATTTCCTTGCCTTGTTAACTGACCACCTTTTATATGCATGTACTTGTTAAAATCTTTCAATTGCTGCTAACAATGCTCAATTTTGTTGTATCCTGTTGATCCTTTTGAACAGTCTTGATGCTAGTGGTTTTATGAGCTGGACTTTGAAGATCTGGTGAAGTGGCTTGCAGGGTCACAGGGTTCAATGTAACTTTTAGGATTAAAGTTACATTATTTTAGGCATTCAGGTAAGAATTAAGGGTTCAGGTAGAAGGAAAGTGCTTTAGAGTTGCAGACACCTTTTAGGTTTGGTTATGGATTAGTTAAATATTGAAGGAGACAGTTCTTTTTTTCAGAAATGCTTTTGTTCCACATTAAAACAACCAATAAATAATTATTCCACCAAGATAAGACAACAATTCCAGTAAGCTCTTACGGTTTACGACAAATATTTACCTCTGTAAAAAAAAAATGATACATTTTCCAGGGATTAGAAGAACTTTTTGCTCACTGTCCCTCGGCCAATATTAGGTTCCAGGACGAACCATGGGTTACAAACAGAAATGAGTCAAAAGGCAAATCCACCAAAATCAAAACCATTGAAATCTTGGTCCATGCCCTCAAAATCCACATCATACTGGCCGCCCTCTGCATCTGCTGAGGGGTGATACCCCAGCTCCCGAAAATCCAGAGAAGCAGGTTCAGCAACACGGGTGCCATGACTTGAGGTGACCATGTATCCCAGGGTTGGTCCCGCTGCAGCTCCACCCATAAGCACACATGCCGTCTTCACACCCCAGTGCAGCTGGGAACCATGGCGAAGGCAGTGAGGGGGGCACTTTTCTTTACAGTGATTTGCCCTACCTGTAGGAAGCAACAGGAGTTAATGACAGTTTCCATGAAAAAAGAGATTAATAGTAGAGGTATTACCCACCTTCCTTCTCTTGGGTGTTATCCTTTCTTTGGCCAGAGACATCACTAAAACAGCATCTTCGGATGGGTGATGTTGTGTGGAGCATGCAGCTGGTGGGGGAGAGTGGAGGTTGGGACAAGCTCTAGAAAAAATTAAAGAGATTTGTGTCATGAAGAAAGACAGCAGTTATTAAAAGGAATGCTAACTATTGTTATGCCAGATTTCTGGAGGACCATGCCAGTGCAATTTTTAAGATGATAATGCTATATATTTTCTCAGTTAAAGTGCAGCTGAGGTTTTGTATTACAAATTCTAAAAAAATATAGGGTAAGTCACTGCCGTGTGATGCCTACAAGTACCTGCAATAATCTTTAAACTAGTTTCTGTATCCCCGTAGAGTCCCTTGGATTTCAGGCATAGACAGTACACAATGGCGTGACATCTGCTCATATGTCTGAACCCAACACTTAATTTTACATAAAATTGTAAAATGTACATATATTTTTTCAAAGAAGTCAAACATGTTTTTCTTTTACAATAGCTCAAGATTATTGATCTTCTGGAACTTAGCCTTTCTAATAGTGCAACTTTCTCTGACATATACTACTAAAATGAACATCAATTATGTAGGTGACACAAAATCAATGGATGACCTGATCCATCCTCCTTTACATGTAACCATAGCCAGATTTACCATCAGGCACAGTAGGTGTGTGCCTAAAGACAACAGAGGCAAAGCGGTGGATTTCCCCTAGTATAGTTATCAGCTATGTATTTTCTATCCATCAATGGATCAATGAATCAGCTCACAGATTGTCAGAGCAAGCAGAAATAAAGGTGCTTATTCTTGTGTTTGAAGTAGTATTACAATCACAAACTTTTTTCCATAATGAATCCAGATCAAACAAACATATATTGCCCAGCAAAGTATTTGTTTTCATTTTTTCCCAAACACTTACAGTCATCATGTTTCCCAACAGCTGACTCCAACTCTCACAGCTCCGCTTTCCTGAACTGCCTGTCCAGTGCAAATACACAAGGGACAGAGCAGTCTACAGCAGCTGTTCAACTACTAGCTTTGAGAAGGAAGAAGAGAGGAAGGAGGAGCGGGGAGGAAAGGAGTGGTTTGCCTTGCTGTGTCTTGTCTGTTTATGGAGAAATACAAAGCACACTAGTACACACAAGGGTGGTGCCATAGCACAATACAAGGGAAAGGAGCTACCCTAAAACAGGATAACCAGGGCAGTGCTCAGGGGACCAACTGCAGGAAACTAAAATGTATAATATCAAAGAGCAGCATTTATTATAAGTTATTTAATCCGTATTTGAAACAGCCTAAAAACCTTTAGACATTAATATCACTTTAGGCTTTCTGGTCCGAGCCTGTAAATATTTAAAATAAATATTTTCAAGGTGAAAACAAATGTTAAAGTGAGTCCACATGCTATAAATGTGATTTTACTGACCTCTTTCACTTTCCTTAGTATATTTATCCATTTGCTACAAGGGAAACAGTAAAAGGACAAATGTCACCAAATAAAATCAATCAAACAGCTACCGAGTACAATGTTCTACAAACAAATGGCTGATTTGGAGAGTAATATGGGTTCTGCCATTACCAGTTGCTTAGCTGTTTGGTGACTATAGAAGCTCATGACAGCCGGGCAACTAGAATTTACAGGATGATAAATCATGAATGGCATTTTTTGATGTTTCCTCTAGAAAAGGATTACTTGGCTTATTTTAGTGTTTAGAATAAAGCTGGCTACGTATGTTACTATCTGTTTATACAACTTCCTTGCAATCTCCTTTAGCTTTACAAACAACTATATAATGCAAAGATTACCTAAACAATCCAAGAAAATAGCTACTTTCCTGCATGTCAGTGTATAGGTAAGCATGTGACTCACCCCTCCTCTACCATGTGACAGTAATAGCTACATTGTGAATTGTGATTGGCCAAGATCTCCCCTCATGAAAGGAGTCCATAGCGCTGCGGGAGCTTGGACAAGTTGGTTTGTAGGTTTCTTTCCCTGTTTACAGCAGACAGAATACCATGTTACAAGTGAAAGGTTAGAATCTACTGCTGTGTAGGGGGGCAGTTAAGTGACTCTTTGGTCACTTTTAATATGCCGCAGAAGCTTGACTGAGCATGTGCAGCCAAAAAAAGTTATCTTTATTTACAGGGTTATTCACAAAAGGGTGAGGAGTAGAAGTGAACAATCTAGGACAACATAGCTGAACTGGAAAGTGAGCTGAATTGGAGAATTGTTCCAAATCAGCTGTTTGGTCCTAGATTGTTCACTTGTCCTGCCTTCTCCAAACTCTGCACCCTTTTGTGAATAAACCTGTTATTTTCTCCCTGGCTAAAAAACTAGGAGGTTTACTGCCAGTAATGCATGCTGGGGAGGAGATAAATATTTGGCTTGACCTTCCAGAAGGGTCTTTTGTCTCCTGGGCTGTTTCCAGGAAAGAAGGGTCTTCCCTCCAGCTCTGTTGCTTGTAGAGGAGGGTTTTCCCGCCAGGTCTGTTGCCTGGAGAGGAGGGTTTTCCCTCAAGGTCTGTTGCCTGGAGAGGAGGGTTGTCCCTCAAGGTCTGTTGCCTGGAGAGGAGGGTTTTCCCTTCAGGTCTGTTGCTTGGAGAGGAGGGTCTTCCCTTCAGGTCTGTTGCCTGGAGAGGA